TATGTGACATCATATGAATATTTACCCCATATCAGCATCTGTTGCTGCATCCAGTCGTAAGAATGGGATTTAGCGCAATACCACATACACAATTTCAGCAGGTGTTGGCCGTAGATCCTGGAAACGACCTGGAAGCCGCGGTGGATGTGGAGGTGGCATGTGGGGCTTGTTATTGGGACAGTTTAGTTTAGTTGTTAGGTGTCAAAATGCTATGATTAATATATATATATGTGTGTGTGTACTAGATTGTATTAGTAGTGATTATTAGTATTTGTTTAGTATGTATTAGTGTATATGGAAGCTTAGCTGAACTCGTCGAGAAGGCGATGGAGGGGGAGAGAGAGAGAAAGAGAGAGAGAGACAGAGAGTGAGAGAGAGAGTGAGAGAGTAATTCCATAATGCATAATGCCAAATTTGCTTTTTTGCATGGGAACAGTTTTCTTGCAGATAATTCCCAATTTTGATATGGTATACGAGCAATTATAGATTCTGAACATGTCATACTGGTGATCTGAGACTTCGTGTCCGGACTTGGTGGATGATGTGGATAGTTGAAGCAAGAACCTGAAGGACACCCCACCAATTTGGTTGCAAAAAACGAGGCTTACTGCATTTTCTTCCTTCAACCAATGCATTGGTATTTGGGATTGATTCAGGTGCACAGAGGATGATTCCTACTTTACTGCTATTGTTGCAAGTGGCCAGAGTTCAGCCCCATATGCCCCATGTTTTCCGCCTGTAAACCCCACCAGCCATGATAACTATGTTTGGCGCGTCATGACATTTCCACAAAGCGCGTGTATTTCATATTTTGTTTTTTTTCCAATCGCAGATCATTGGCGCGTGAGACGCAGAGTGGGTCATGCAGCGAGAACTGTAAACAAAATCGCAGACTGCCTTTGATAATTACTTTTGATATCTTTAGATGCTCACAGTTAGTGATTTGTTGATCCCCAAAAGAAATTGAGCCGAACCTGTCGCCTGTACGCAAGGCCTTGTCCGGCGAAACCTTAGACAAATTGGCTTTGCCTGAAACCTTGAAGAGCTTCGACCAGGTGTGGTATCCTGGGGAGACACCAAGTTGGCACCCAAGTTAAACAGCTCATGTTGAATGGGGAAACCAATGCTGTTTGGGTGCCATAACATACTTCAAACACAACTATATAGTAATTACAGGCACATGAGATTATATGAATATATGTAGAATGAAATATGATGAGTATAAGTAGTGTATGTGCGACAGTTGTTTCAGCGAACAAGTCGCAGATGACAATCCGTTGATTGAAACCGGATCCTGAGGAGTCACTGATATGACCCATGTAGGTAGGCAGGCTTGACGACTTGATGCATGTGTCACTGTGTCACATAATATCTTAAAGCAGGCTGTGTGCTACTATGTAGTTGTTGGGATGCAAACTTGAGCTTGGACTATTCAAAATATTCAGTGGTTTCGATTTCAGATGGACGTTGGGTTCAGCATGGTCCAGCATTTTTTAAATAATTTCAAACAAGTTTCCTCTCAATTATATATACACATATGTGTATAATATATATATATATATATATCATTTGCTTTAAAAGGGTGTGTATATATATATACCATATGTTTAATGGTGTTGTGTTGTTTTGCCAGATTGCCTTGAGGCTCTGCAAGATGCTGTGTCAGAGGATCCCATCATGAAGGACCTGCTGAATCTCCATCCAGCCGAAGCTTGGCGAGGTTACACGGGTTACACGGGTTACCCTCTGGTTATTTCACAGCGCCATGGAAGCCATGGCCCATAGAAATAGATGGTTTACCTATGAAAATAGCATGGTGATTTTCCATGGCGAACTGTTAAATAACCAGATGGTACTTTCTTCGCAATGTTTATATCACTGTTTTTTCCACATTCGCATATAATTGAGTTGGTTAGTATCAACCCTGGTGTAGTATGTATCAGTATGTATCATCACTGCAGTTATCTCACTTTTGAGTGGATTGTATTTCCACTTCCCAGTTGCTTCGTTGGGTGATCCTCCAAGTGGTGGGGGCTTAATCTTCTCATGGAAGGGGATGGCCATGGCCATCCCCCAATAGGTGTTTTTGCTTTGCCAATTGATAAGGGGAATCCCAAATGAGGGTGGGATGACCATACCCCACGTACCAAGTTTTGACTATGTAACATGTGTCTCAATGCACATAGATGCACGTAGCGCATCACAATGCACAGATTGAACATACTTGACCTACTTGCCTTTGTTGACGACAGATTGAAGTGAATTGAAATTGAGGAGGCCACCATATAGGTGAAATTTCAAGTTGGTCTTAGCATATCTCAGCCGTGTAATATGGGGTTTTAGGGCTATTTTTTCCCTGTATTCAATCTTGGTATTGTGGTAGGCGTGTGTGCGTATGAAATTAATCGAGGAACGATATGAATGTAATAGGCAAATGATCATACATAGCTTTGGGATTGCCTTTGGGATTGCTTCAACAAATCCTAGCTAGAATCATATAATCAATGATATAATCCTAGGTATAATCAAATCCTATAGGTATAGTCCTAGCCGTCCTAGCTATAAAAAGATATCATCAAGGCCCTAAGTGCCCGACACCTCGCTTTCCCTCTGAGTTGGCGATGGAATACTCCAGCGCCTCGTTGGCTGGAGACTATGTCTCCATGGGCTCCTCGACAGGATGGGCGGTTCCACCTGCATTTGGGGGGTTATTCAGTCGGTTAAGTAAATATGATGAAGTTATACTAGTCTATCATGGTTTAATAACTGTCAAAAGTTGGGATATGTTGGGATATAGCCCTGGCAACATCTTGTAACTATAGTTATAGATCCAATTAGAAGTGGAGTCCTGCGCCCCCAAGTTGGCTGGGAAAGGTTGCCGGATCCAACGGAGCCACATCTCATGCTACGGGATTGAAAGTTACCCTCTGGTAATCAAACGTGGCAATGGAAATTCCTCTATCTATAAACGGAGGATTTCCAATGGCCTTGTTTGATTCCTGGAGAGTATCAGATGTTTTCAGTACAATTAGCCTCTCGCACCTCCATCTAGTGTGGGGATTTCCAAGCTCCCTGGGCTGAGGTTGGCACACCGTTTGTCGCAGGGATAAGGCGCACAGATTTTTTTGCGGATGTGGGGGTCCTTGCAGTTGGAGGGTTACCAAGAAACCTGACTCAATGATGGGTACTGAAGGCACAAGATGAATATAGATAGATGAATGATGGGTGGGTGAACGTGCAAGAATACTTTTATATGATGTCAGTATAAGTATGTGTTGTAGCTTTCTTGTATTATGTTGTCATAGCTTTGACAGGTGTTCGGTACGAGTTGGAACCATCCAAGCCAAAAAGGCCGACACAACGCTGGACGGCTACGGCACATCGTGACTCACCAGATGGTGCTGGTGCTGGGAGGAAAGTGTGAAGCTGCAAGCCCCAAACATAGTGCGGGAAAGTGCCGCAAAGGTGGGTTCATAAGCAACAATCGGAAGTGTAGCTGGCGAAAGAAATCTATCAATATGAATCAATAGACAATGATAGATAATATATATATATATATATGTACCCGAAGATCTTAGAACCTTGAAAAATCTGGGGTCCCAAGATTGTTCCGGAACAATTCAGGCACCTTCCAATCAATAAGATCATATAAGATCATATGCATAAGAACGTATATAAGATCATAAAAGGTCATACAGGATCATAAAAGATTTAAGGACGATATGTAAGTCATATAAGATCATAAGATATAATAAAAGATCGTAAACACATGATATAGAATCTAAAGATCACAAAATTTTAAATGAGATCATATCATCCTGCCAGTCTTGGACATTCACAGGCCAGCTTGAACCGTTTCCTGGGTCCTGGGCGGCGAGTCTGAAGAACAAACAGGGTTTAAGTTCAAAGTCAGGTTTTTACCTACAGCAACCCGTCAAACACAGGTTTTCATATCTTAACCTTGAAAAAGTTGGGGTCTTGGAGTACCAGGTATATATTATTATATTATGTTAATAATAGGTATGAACAGATTTACTTCAGCAAATTGGGTATAGATATAGCTCTAAATCATGAGGACTCATTGCTTTCCATTTGTTCCATCTTCGCATGCGATATTGCGATGGGCCGCGGTTGGCCCTTGGCAAAAACATCAGGTGCTCCAGAAATATGTTTGTTGTTTCTTTGTTGTTTTGGATTTTTTGTGCACAAACACAAACACCAAACAAGGCAAGAAGTTCGGGTTCAGAGTCCCAACTTTTGATCCTCTTTACGTGATTCTTGCAGCAACAGTGTTTACAATTTTACGATGTAACATGACACAAACAAACGTTTTTGCTCATCAAGGTTCCTTGACACCCATCACAAGATGCCCCATGGACACAACTTGGCTCCGGAGCCTTCCTGATTGGGATGCTTCAGCTGATTGTCCTGCAAATCTGAGGCAGATCGTGAACGATCAAACTCTGAATTCTTGCTCAGCGTGCGGCATCCCGATTGGTGGCCCCGATTGATGGCTTCAATCCCCGGCGGAGCAGCTAGTTTTCTTGGCTGGAGCGGGAAGATTATGTAGAGTAGAGATGAGTAGAGATGATGACTCATACATTTTGGATTTTGGATAAGTGCCAGCCACTCTGTGTTTCTGGTTTTCACCGCGTTTTCACATGTAGCCAGCATTTCGGCTCAGCCGGGAAACCCCTTCCATGTGCTGGCGATCCATGGATCGAAATAGCTGAACTACATGTGGCAATGCAGCGGCACCTGCGAGCAGCAGCTGCTGTCCTGCTGTGGTTGTGTTTAGCTCAGATCATGCTCAGTTGGAGAAACTGAGTTTGGACATCAGCGTCATCAGCGTCATCAGCAATCTGCTTGATTCATGTTGATTTGCTGCTCCTTAGAGATCTTTCAAGTGTGTGGTGACACATTGCTGTGTCTTCCCCAACCTTGGGGAACCATGGGAACCCCTGGCCCCTCCAAAATGTCGGGCATCGGATCGGTGCCAGGTGCGTCGTGGGGGATGACTGCGTGGAGCAAATAGAAGAGCTGCTTGAGCTGCAGGGTACTGGCTGTGGTTCGGAGCTTGGAAATCTATGCCCATTATTTTCCATTCCGGTGATATGAGAAAAAGGTAGAGAACATGATGAACACGTTTCAATGTTTTTTTGTGTGTTTTTGGTATATTATTTGGAGTATTTTGAATCTTGTGGGCTGGCAGATGGTTCAACAGGCCCTAATTCTACATATTTATATAGATCAGTTCAAATCCCTAAAAGCCCTAAAAAAGTAGCATTTAACTTGTTTTTCCCATTTTATTACCTACAGAAGCAAGTAGATCTAAGCTGCTTCAGATCCCAAATAAACACTCGCCATCACTCGCCCCAAAGTGGTTCCAGCCCCAGGTCCGAAGTGCAGGCGCTGAACACACAGCTCCTACAACAGAAGCTGCAGCTAGCGCGGCAGAGTGACTTAGAGGTCCTGCGGGTCCTGCGGGATCCCCACTACTTAGATGGGCCATGGGATTAACTAGGTGGTTACTGGCTGGGGATATAACCCCCAAAAAATCCCAATGAAATAATCCATTTACTAACTAGTTAACTAATTAACTAACTCCATGGCCCATCTAAATAAACTTCCACTAGTGACCTACTACCCGCTGTTATTTACCAGGGCCGTCAATGCCAGGCGCCCGCTGTGCCCCCTGGCGAACGGTTCAGTTTGCCACTGGCGCGAGCCTATGCAGCGCTCAGCCAAGCGGCCTTTTGCCCCTGGGATGCACCCGGTGATACAATGGCACTGACGCGGAATATGTCATTAATGTATATTAATGTATATTATATGTATATTAATGTATATTATATGTATATTAATGTGTATTAATGTATATTAATGTGTATTAATGATTATCTTACTGCTGTATTCTATTGTATTCTGTGGTTTGTTGTTTTCCATTTGTAATAAAACTATTGTTGTGAGTACATGTATTCCGCAGTATTCCCATCAACATGATCAGTATTCATGGGATGGGCGACATCACCTAGCAACCCTGCTTCTTTGGGTTGCGGTTCCACTTCTAAATGGGTATAAAACTATATAACCAATATACTTATAAGATGTTATGGGGGTCATATCAAAGTATATATGTTTATGTCTTTTTAATATCCCAACTTATACTGTGTTCTTATCGCCCATGGTTTACCCAGAAAAGTCACCCCAACTGCAATTCCAAGTAGTTTCAGCTATGGCTATAACTGATTTTATATGGTAGATAGGTCATCGACCTATAGTTAGTGAGGTTTAATCCATGTCCATCCAATATTGTATACCCCGCCTATAGAAACCCTAGTTTTGTGTTGGATCTATACACTTATATTAGTGCTGATTGGTGGTTTGGAACATTTTTTGTTTTTTTTTTATATTGGGAATAATCATCCCAACTGACTAATATTTTTCAGAGGGATTGAAACCACCAAACAGTAGTGGGTTTTCCACATCTATATTAGTTTACCACTGGGCAATGATTTAGGCAGGGGCACCACCGTTTTGGCTCAGGTGGTGTCGATGAAGCTCTGAGAAACTGGACCTGCGAAGCATGTCATGCTGTGGGCTTCAGCTTGGCACCTGGCAGCACGCGGCTGGTACGGCAAGCGGCTTGGCATTCCCCTGGGGATGAGTTGAGATGTTTTTAGGTCTGAACACAACATAACACAACCAAGTTGCTGTGATAGCTGGGAAGAACATCATCATGTTGGATGTTAACATCTTATTTCGACGGCAAAAACATTCTTTGTTTTGGTTGAACCCACATTTATTCATAGTTTGAAGTATGTTTCATTTGTTCTCGGTACAAAAATCCTCATGTTTGCAATACGGCAACAAATCCATTATTTAAGGGCTGCCGCCCCTGCCGCCGACCCCGGAAGAATGGTCAACTAACCAGTTTGTTTTCCGATTCTGTTGATTCTGCGCTACCGCGGTACGACCATTTATAAGCGGTTTCTCGATATTCAGAGTTCTCAGCCTGCCGGGGGGCCCAAGGGATCGCAAGGAATCCCACGGCAAATTTGAACAGCAGGGTGCAATGGTTTGGATCCCTACTGTACTTAATTACATCTTAAGAATCTTATATCATACTGAATTCTTGTTGCTTTCTTTCATTTTATGATATTTCTTAGGTACGGATTCTTTTTTATTAAATCCCAAAGTGAAAGAGTGGACGCCTGCTGAAATATTCAGGATCGGCAATGTCAGCTAGTTAATAGCTGGACAGTCCATCAATTCCAATTTGGTTCCAATACTTACAATATCAAAATCTATCAAATTGTTGTTTTGGGGGTATCATCTTCCATTTTGAGACACATGCACCCCATTTCTTTTTTTTTTGGTGTGTGTGTAATCAGCATTGGGTTTCTTTGCACCAATGGAACGGATGTAAAATGGTGAGATTTTCCAGAGCCAAGGTGGCAGCCAACCTTTTGGGTTTCCATAAATGGAGGATCCCCAATACTAGTAGCATCAATAGCTGAATGGTCTTTTCATGGAGAATCCCAATCTAAAGTGTTGTTTTTCAATGGGGTACCCTCATTTACGGAAACCACCATGGTTTTTTTGAATGAGGGTTGGTCATGGCGAAATCGAAATCCGTACGGCTGATCATCGAAAAGGATGATTTGAGCCACTTTTTCCTCCTTCTGCTGCTGCTGCTTCTGCTCCTGCTGCTCCTCCTGTTCAAATGGCAGCTCCCGGATGGGAAAACACCATGGCAGCGAAGGACGGAAAGGCATCAAAATTGCGCGCAAAAAGTGCCTAATGCAACTTCTGAAACCCATAGAAAACGATGATTTTCGCTACTTTGTCCTACGCACGATTGCTGCTGCTGGGAAAACACCATGGCAGCGAGGGACGGAAAGGCAGCAAAATTGCGCCCAAAAAGTGCTTAATGATGCTTAATGTAATTTCTGAAACCTATAGAAAAGGATGATTTTCGCTACTTTTTCCTCCGCGCTATTGCTGCTGCTGGAAAACACCATGGCAGTGAAGGACGGAAAGGCATCAAAATTGCGCCCAAAAAAGTGCCTAATGTAACTTCTGAAACCCATAGAAAAGGATGATTTTAGCTACCTTTTCCCTCCTCCGCTGCTGCTGCTCCTGCTCCTACTGCTCCCTCTGTTCAAATGCTAGCTCCCGGATGGGAAAACCTGCTGCTCCTTCTGTTCAAATGGCAGCTCCCGGATGGGAAAACACCATGGCAGTGAAGGACGGAAAGGCAGCAAAATTGCGCCCAAAAAGTGCTTAATGTAACTTCTGAAACCAATCGAAAAGAATGATTTTAGCATTTTTTTCCTCTTCCTGCTGCTGCTGCTTCTGCTCCTGCTGCTCCTTCTGTTCAAATGGCAGGCAGCTCCCGCATGGGAAAACACCATGGCAGTGAAGGACGGAAAGGCAGCAAAATTGCGCCCAAAAAAGTGCCCAATGTAATTTCTGAAACCCAAAGAAAAGGATGATTTTAGCTACCTTTTCCCTCCTCCTGCTGCTGCTGCTCCTGCTCCTGCTGCTCCCTCTGTCCAAATGCTAGCTCCCGGATGGGAAAACCTGCTGCTCCTTCTGTTCAAATGGCAGCTCCCGGATGGGAAAACACCATGGCAGTGAAGGACGGAAAGGCAGCAAAATTGCGCCCAAACAGTGCCTAATGTAACTTCTGAAACCCATAGAAAAGGATGATTTTAGCTACCTTTTCCTCCTGCTGCTGCTTCTGCTCCTGCTGCTCCTTCTGTTCAAACGGCAGCTCCCGGATGGGAAAACACCATGGCAGTGAAGGACGGAAAGGCAGCAAAATTGCGCCCAAAAAGTGCGTAATGTAACTTCTGAAACCAATCGAAAAGAATGATTTTAGCAATTTTTTCCTCCTCCTGCTGCTGCTGCTGCTTCTGCTCCTGCTGCTCCCTCTGTTCAAATGGCAGCTCCCGGATGGGAAAACACCATGGCAGTGAAGGACGGAAAGGCATCAAAATTGCGCCCAAAAAGTGCCTAATGTAACTTCTGGAACCCATAGAAAAGGATGATTTTAGCTACCTTTTCCTTCCTCCTGCTGCTGCTGGCGCTGGTGTTGGTGGTGGTGCTGCTGCTGCTGCTGCTGCTATTGCTGAAAGAAGAGTACCAAAAGCACCTCCCGGTGTGGCAAAGCTACCACATCAAAATTGCGCGCAAAAAGTGCCTAATGTAACTTCTGAAACCCATCGAAAAGAATGATTTTAGCAACTTTTTCCACCTGCTGCTGCTGCTTCTGCTCCTGCTGCTCCTTCTGTTCAAACGGCAGCTCCCGGATGGGAAAGCATCATGGCAGTGAAGGATGGAAAGGCATCAAAATTGCGCCCAAAAAGTGCCTAATGTAACTTCTGAAACCCGAAGAAAAGGATGATTTTAGCTACCTTTTCTTCCTGCTGCTGCTCCTGCTCCTGCTGCTCCTTCTGTTCAAATGGCAGCTCCCGGATGGGAAAACACCATGGCAGTGAAGGACGGAAAGGCAGCAAAATTGCGCCCAAAAAGTGCCTAATGTAACTTCTGAAACCCATAGAAAAGAATGATTTTAGCTACCTTTTCCTCGTGCTGCTGCTCCTGCTCCTGCTGCTCCTTCTGTTCAAATGGCAGCTCCCGGATGGGAAAACACCATGGCAGTGAAGGACGGAAAGGCAGCAAAATTGCGCCCAAAAAGTGCTTAATGTAACTTCTGAAACCAATCGAAAAGAATGATTTTAGCATTTTTTTTCTCTTCCTGCTGCTGCTGCTGTTTTGCTCTTGTTTCTTTTTGTTCAAATGGCAGCTCCCGCATGGGAAAACACCATGGCAGTGAAGGACGGAAAGGCATCAGAATTGCGCCCAAAAAAGTGCCTAATGTAATTTCTGAAACCCATAGAAAAGGATGATTTTAGCTACCTTTTCCCTCCTCCTGCTGCTGCTGCTCCTGCTCCTGCTGCTCCCTCTGTTCAAATGGCAGCTCCCGGATGGGAAAACTTGCTGCTCCTTCTGTTCAAATGGCAGCTCCCGGATGGGAAAACACCATGGCAGTGAAGGACGGAAAGGCAGCAAAATTGAGCCCAAAAAGTGCCTAATGATTAATGTAACTTCTGAAACCCATAGAAAAGGATGATTTTAGCCACTTTTTCCTCCTGCTGCTGCTGCTTCTGCTCCTGCTGCTCCTTCTGTTCAAACGGCAGCTCCCGGATGGGAAAACACCATGGCAGGGAAGGACGGAAAGGCAGCAAAACTTCGCCCAAAAAGTGCTTAATGTAACTTCTGAAACCAATCGAAAAGAATGATTTTAGCAATTTTTTCCTCCTCCTGCTGCTGCTGCTTCTGCTCCTGCTGCTCCTTCTGTTCAAATGGCAGCTCCCGGATGGGAAAACACCATGGCAGTGAAGGACGGAAAGGCATCAGAATTGCGCCCAAAAAAGTGCCTAATGTAACTTCTGAAACCATAGAAAAGGATGATTTTAGCCACTTTTTCCTCCTGCTGCTGCTGCTTCTGCTCCTGCTGCTCCTTCTGTTCAAACGGCAGCTCCCGGATGGGAAAACACCATGGCAGTGAAGGACGGAAAGGCATCAGAATTGCGCCCAAAAAAGTGTCTAATGTAACTTCTGAAACCCATAGAAAAAGGATGATTTTAGCAACTGTTTCCTCCTGCTGCTGCTGCTTCTGCCCCTGCTGCTCCTTCTGTTCAAATGGCAGCTCCGGATGGGAAAACACCATGGCAGTGAAGGACGGAAAGGCAGCAAATTTGCGCCCAAAAAAGTGCCTAATGTAACTTCTGAAACCCATAGAAAAGGATGCCTTTAGCTACGTTTTCCCTCCTCCTGCTGCTGCTGCTCCTGCTCCTGCTGCTCCCTCTGTTCAAACGGCAGCCCCCGGATGGGAAAACACCATGGCAGTGAAGGACGGAAAGGCAGCAAAATTGCGCCCAAAAAGTGCCTAATGTAACTTCTGGAACCCATAGAAAAGGATGATTTTCACTACTTTTTCCCTTCTCCTGCTGCTGCTGCTGCTCCTGCTCCTGCTGCTCCCTCTGTTCAAATGCTAGCTCGCGGATGGGAAAACCTGCTGCTCCTTCTGTTGAAACGGCAGCTCCCGGATGGGAAAACACCATGGCAGTGGAGGACGGAAAGGCAGCAAAATTGCGCCCAAAAAGTGCCTAATGTAACTTCTGAAACCCATAGAAAAGGATATTTTAGCTGCCTTTTCCTCCTGCTGCTGCTCCTGCTCCTGCTGCTCCTTCTGTTCAAATGGCAGCTCCCGGATGGGAAAACACCATGGCAGCGAAGGATGGCTTTTTCAATTTCCGCTTTTTCAATCTCCCATCAGCTCACCTGCTGCTGCTGCTGCTACTAACAGAAGAGTAGCAAGAGCACCTCCCGGCACCAAAACAGCAAGGCACGGAAGGACGAACAGGCCACAGAATCGCACCGAAAAAGTACCTAACCTCTCTTCTGATTTCCGAGAAAAAAAATCTTTTTCCCAACCTTTTCCGCTTTTTCAATCCCATCAGCCCACCTGCTGCTGCTCCTGCTGCTGCTGCTGCTGCTGCTAACAGCAGAGTAGCAAGAGCACCTCCCGGAACCAAAACAGCAAGGCACGGAAAGACAAACAGGCCTTAGAATCGCACCGAAAAACTGCCTAACGTCCCTTCTGAATTTCTAGACAAAATGTCTTTTTCCCAACCTTTTCCGCTTTTTCAATCTCCCATCAGCTGCTGCTGCTGCTGTTGCTGCTGTTAACAGAAGAGTAGCAAGAGCACCTCCCGGCACCAAAACAGCAAGGCACGGAAGGACGAACAGGCCACAGAATCGCTCCGAAAAATTGCTTAACGTCCCGTCTGAATTCATCGAAAGAATGTCTTTTTCCCAACTTTTTCCGCTCTTTCAATCTTCCATCAGCCCACCTGCTGCTGCTGCTGCTGCTAACAGAAGAGTAGCAAGAGCACCTCCCGGCACCAAAACAGCAAGGCACGGAAGGACGAACAGGCCACAGAATCGCACCGAAAAAGTGCCTAACGTCCCTTCTGAATTCCTAGACAAAAAATGTCTTTTTCCCAACCTTTTCCACTTTTTCAATCTCCCATCAGCTGCTGCTGCTGCTGCTGTTGCTGCTGTTAACAGAAGAGTAGCAAGAGCACCTCCCGGCACCAAAACTGCAAGGCACGGAAGGACGAACAGGCCCTAGAATCGCACCGAAAAACTGCCTAACGTCCCTTCTGAATTCCT